TTTTCTTCTCTATATCCTTTTTCCCAGTACTATTTTTGTCTCCCCAAATGAATAGCTATAACATACTTTACTGGGAAAATGTTTGAAGGGTGTTGTTTTTAAAAAATATGAATGATAGTGCATCTTCTTCTCTATATCCTTTTTCCCAGTACTATTTTTGTCTCCCCAAATGAATAGCTATAACATCCTTTACTGGGAAAATGTTTGAAGGGTGTTGTTTTTAAAAAATATGAATGATAGTGCATCAGATGGGTCTCTCAGGCAAGCCTATACATCCACACACCTTTTGCAGAACGAAGACTAACACGGTTGGAGATGAATCACATCAATTAAATTGATTTAGACCCAGATTTGCCATCAAGGGACAAAAGGCAGGGAGCAAGGGGCAGCCCACACAATCAGGCTTTTGTTTAGTCAGTCACCAGGGACAGACCTCCCACCACACAGCAGCTGCAGCCCTCGCTTGATACTATAAACCAAAGAGACCTTCAGAACTTTCTAGGGATGGCAGCAAAAGAATTAGTCACCCTGTGTTTATAAAGCAGAAATCAGCTTTAACAGGGGCTTGATTACCGGAAACTTATTAGGGCTCTGCAAGGGTTTAGAAAGCACACTGCTTGCTAACTGGTGATTATGATATCTCACACAAAACAAACTCTCTTTCAACAAGGACAGATTGCATTGTTCTACGTGTTCTTAATCGATTTCAAATATTAGCCCAGCTGGGTCAAAGCAGGATTTCAAAAGTGGCAAATATTTTCCATGCCCGATACATTTTCCATGACTGTGTGGGAGAGTGGAAGAAAATAAATCATTAATTCCTTCAACAAACCCTTACTGAATGTCTGTTATGCCTCAGGGAGATATAAATGAAGATGTGCAGTTAGAATTCAGTGCTAACGCTTGTCTTGGCCCACAGTCAGCTGTGTACTGGGGCTGACCTTCACAGGCTCATGAGAACCAACACTGCCATTCCCTTTAACGCCACTTTCAGTGACCTCACAGGGGTGGCTTGAAATCAACCACAGTCGGAGTATTTACACTACAGGAATCAGCAAATGTTAAAGATCAGGGCCTCCCTCCCCCACAGAGCCGACTGTTTAACATTTACCAGCACACCAGTGCCGACAGGGCCCAGAGAGGGGCTCCCGTATACCTCTCCCACTTATCTCCAGCCGCTCTCTCCTTTCCCGTGTGCCAACCATACTGACCTTTCTAGCCCATACTGACTTTCCTTCTGAGTGTTGGACCCACCTAGCACACCCTCACCATGTAACAACTATAGATATGTCTAATTACACAGGCTTAGAAGTCAGCTACCTGCCTTCAAGTCACGACTCCTTCACTTAATGGTTGCGTGAATTGTGTATATTTACTTCACCTGTCTGTGCCTGTTGCAGAACCAAATGCAGCATAAGCACTTTTCCAAACATACACAAGCTGAAATACGCGTGCTCACAGGAACTCATCTCGACTGAAGGTCGGGCGCACGAAGCTTGAGCTAAAGCACCATAGTCAGAGTTCTGTGTGGGGCTTTCTCATCCCCATCCTATATTTTAAAGAAATGGTACTATCAAAGGATAGGCCTTATCAACAATGTAAAATTAAGCCTATAATCTGGCCAACCCAAATTATTAAAACATCTGGATTAAAGAATGTATTTAAACCAATTTCTTTTAAACCTTCCAAGAATAATATTCAATGCAATTACTAATGACATTCCCAAACACTAAACAGGCCAGGGACTCTTGCCCACATGACCATTTTTAATTTTATTTCCTTAGCCCTCACTACCTGAAATACTCTTATTCACCTTGTGGTCTGTCTTCCCACTTGGGTTGCATGCTTCAAGACAGCAGGAACCTAAGCTATTACCCTGTCACCTGGCACAGCCGCTGGCTTAGATTCAGATCTCGACAAATACATTGAGTGAACCGACGAATGCAGGAACATAATTATCTGCTGTAGAAATGCTTCTGTGACAAGACACTTGAAGAGCTTGGGTGCCTAGGGTCCATCTCCCTTCAGGACAGCTGTAATAGGGAATGTCCCATCCCTCTACAACCTACTACCCAGGATACTAAAGGCCTCTTGGAGGGCCTCCTGGAGTGCTGCTCCAAGGTGGCGCCCAAAATGAGGTGAGATAAGGACCCACTGTGGAGCCAGGCCGCTGGCCAGGGTAGGAGTTCCCTCATATTTCTTGATCTTGTCTGCTTCCCCAGTCGCTGCCACCATTTTTCCCCCTTCCTCTTTGGCACAATGCTTCCTGTTTGGGTTTCTGCCTTCTCTAGCCTGCTTCAGAATGGTGTTCTTTCTCACCGTGTCCCCTCATCTCTTGACCTTGAAAATGGCACAGAGTCTTTGGAGGTTCTTACTAAGAGTGTCTATTATGATAAAAGGTAAACAGCAGGGAAGAGGGTCTGCCCTCTGCCTGCCCCCCTCCCAGGCAGCTTCGTTCACTCTGGTCCATTCAATGAATATAAAATGGTGCCTTGAAGCCTTTGGGCCATTGGTGCATAAAGCACTCATAGCCTGGGATGCCCATGGTGTACACCCAGATAGTCATAAAGCTCCTATATTCACTTTCCTGATTTTTTTAAAAACCAAGCTCAGATTTAGCTCATGGCAGTTATAGAGCAATCCAGGTCACCCAATTCCAAAATGGGACTAAAGTAACATGAATCAGCCTCGATGTGAGATTCAACTAGAACCTGCTCCAGCTGAGCTCTAAGAACAAGTTTTGTCAGCAGATATGTGACTTATAATAGTTATTTCTCTTTTAGTCATGGCACCAAGAACACATCCAATGGCATTTAATCTCAAATTTAGCAAGAGTTAACTTCTCTCTCAATTGCAATGCCCTTTTCTGCACAGATGGGGGGAAATGTACAAAGCAAAGTATATTGTATAGAAAACCACCAATTTTACGAGCTGAAAGTCATCTCATCAAAATAAAAAATGAAGGGGGACAGGTGTATGCTACCTCAAAGAAGCAAGAGAGGGCCAGCCCGTGGCTCACTCGGGAGAGTGTGGTGCTGATAACACCAAGGCCACGGGTTCGGATCCCTATATAGGGATGGCCGGTTAGCTGACTTGGGAGAGTGTGGTGCTGACAACACCAAGTCAAGGGTTAAGATCCCCTTACCGGTCATCTTTTTAAAAAAAGAAAAAGAAAGAAAGAAAAAAGAAAAGAAGTAAGAGAGAGCCTCCTTTTTCAGTCCTTGGTAATAATTCTTATATCTTTGTATAATATATATTTACACATTGTGTGTTTGTGTATGTATATATTCTATATAATACTAGGGTACTTCAAAAGGATCATGGCAAGATTTATATTATCTTTTAATTCTATTTTTCCACAAACTTTTTGAAGTACCCTAGTATATATTCAATATAATATATATACACTCCTTCTTATCTGTTTATCCTTTTTAACCAGTAAAACACGCTTAGAAAAAATCCTGTTTGTTTAGTTTACATTACAAACTGTTAGTTCAAAATATTTATTATCAACAATTAATATTTAATTTAATTGTGATAATGCTGCCTTTCATCAAAGCAATCCCTATTACATTCCTGTCAAATCTCTGCCCCCTACAATCTCTGAAATGATCAGGCTCCCTGGATATGTACTGCAGCTGTAAAATGGTTTATAAATACATTCCATTCGACAAGTTATTAGAAATGTTTATTGTAAATGTGCAAAATTCTACACAGAGAGCTGGTGGGAATGCCTAGGTGCAAGAGAGAAAGAAAAAAGTCTCTTTCAGAAATGCAAAAATGTCATAGAGAAGACACATACAATACCAGTAGATCAGGCCATCATCTCAGAACCAAAACTGACATTTAAATTTCTCTGAAAATGTTTACTGGACTAGTTAGTTAATCCATATCCCACTCTAGGTACTTTTATAAATGTCATCTTCAAGTACTTGATCTAATGTCTCATTTTATGTAGAAAGTTGTTTCACTGTTTAATTAAACGTCAACTTAATGTCCCCTTCGACGTACTGGGAAGGAATTTGGAAGAAAATAACTAGAAACTTAAAGAGAAAAGTAGTTTTTAAGGACACTATTATAATGGATTATAATCACCACACACACAAACATGCCCCATATCACCATGGCTGAAAAGGAGTGTCTTTAATACAATGACAAAAATAAATTCTGGTGTGCTTGTTCCTAGAAAGTTACCAATTTCCACTTTCTTCAGCAATAAAATTGTCAATTACCCTTTTTCCTTGTTTAATAATTTTCTTTCTACTTCTTCATAACAAATTTGAATGACCCATGTTAGAATGCCAATGAAGCCATCTGTTTCATACAAATTTTGTTATCAGCCATGGAACTAAAATGGAGACTTTCACTGTGGGAACAATTATGCTCATATTAGCAGGAATTAATTTCCTGCTTCCTTTTCCCTGTCTTGATCCCCCCTTCTTAGAGTTAGACATTAATAAAAACATTGATAGAACTAATATATTGCACATGGGGGACCAGGGGATCACATTTTCAAAGATAAGAACTGTGGTTAAAAAAAATTTTTTTTAAATTCTTGAAATATCAAAATTTGTATATTGGTCCAATATGTAACCTTTAGAAATGCTCAACAAGTCTTTAAAATGCAAACATTTCTAAAAATGTTCACTTTCTTAGATTTCCAACAACTATCATCTAAAGTTAAAAATCAAACATCAAAATATTCAAGTAGACTTTACACTGTGTACAGGGACAACTCATTTTTTTAAATTTCAGGACATCTCTTCCTCATTCAAGAAAAACACTTATTTGCATATGTTTCTAAAAGTATATTAAGTTAATTTTGTCTTTCTTCAGTTAGTTCATGCCAAAGAAAATTCAGTTTCCTAGGATTAAGGGATTGCATTCCTCATTTTTCAAATTTTAATTTAAACCACTATTTAAGTTAGTCATAATATTTTTAAAGGAATAACTGGCAAATGAAACATACTCAAGAAAAAGTAAGTATATATCATAATTACCTTTTGCCTGGTCCATAGTCCTCCCCTTCAGGCATCTCTGCCCTTCAACAATGCTACTATGGAGTAGGTGGTAGCACTTGCGTACTACGGCTAATGAGGCCAAACGATGCTTTCTTTTCCACTGTAGTTGAATATCAGGAGGGGAAAACCCCCAGTAGTGAAGTTCTTTCCTTCTGGGAAAAAAGCTCTCCTTTTTTACTCAGAAAGTTGGTGTTTACAAACTTCCAAAGCGCCTGCCTGCCCGCCTTGAATGAAGCTAAGAGCCAGGTTATTATGACTGCCCCCTTCTAAAAATAAATAGGTCACCTCTTACTCCCAGTACCGTGACAGGCAGCTGGGAGCAAGCGCTGTCCAGTTGCCCAGCATTTTCTCTCCAGTCGTGTGAGAAGGTGTCACCACCCAGCTATTAACCTTCATTGGATGACTTCACCTAGGCCAGCCTGCCCTTTCTCTTTCTGGTTTTTTTCTTTCCTGGCAGGACCAGGCACCCACTGAAGGGTGGAGTGGCCCTGGGGAGTTGAAACTTCACCCTGAGCTATCAAATCTCCTCCTTCGAGTCCCAGGAGGGAGTTGGGAGCAGAGAGCAAAACGGGCTGTACCCGCCAGAGCTAAGAGGCTTGTTGGTCCGGAGACTGCCTATCCACTGAGCAAAAAGACCCCTTACTCAAAAAGGCAAAAACAAAGTTTTTGAGGGCTATTTGAGGGTTTTGAGGGACATCGTTTTGCAAGGAAATCTTAGATTTCTCAATTCAGAATAAGCATGCACACAAATATGAGTCGATGTATTCATGTGGGCAAAATGCTTTCACCCCAGGACTTTCCCTGGCACCAGGGAGCAGCCTGACACTGGCACATGGCCAGGCTCTGGGTCTGGATGTTTTTATATCTTGGCCTGTCACTGCACAGGAGTTAACAATCAGCAAGTATTCTCATTTGCTGACTTTTTAAAAGAGTAGGATAAAGATCACTTCAAATCCTGCTTTCAAAAAGGCCAGGGAGATATTACTGAGATTCCTTTAGTAATAAACCCTGAAAACTTTGGATAAAAACTTGAAACCATTTTTTTTTCCCCTTACTTGGAACGTTAGGGAAGGCAGAAAGCAAGACACAATATTCTTTTTAAAATGTGTGTTCCATTACCGTGTTATAGCTAATCCTAGCAAGATATTTATATTTAATGCATGTTTTACCTTTTATATTTGTCAAGTTGTTTTTACAGCATGAAAGAATTGAAAAGTCAAAATCCATAATATAGTTCTCTGCTTTCTTTTGAATAGTATTAGCCATTTTGTGATGTATGCATGTCACAATTAGAAATAATTCTTTAAATGATTTAATACATCTGACATTTCAGAAATGTCAAAGTCTAAGGTTAAGTAGGTGCAGATACTCAAACACATAACTCAAATACCAGGACCTGGAAAGAAAAGAGTCAGAAGCAGAGTTCTGAAGATCAGGGCATGCGGGAGCCTCTTAGAACTAACATAATGTGCTGTATTGTTGGAAATTCCAGGTTTTTAAAGAACTGAAAAATTGAAATACTGAAAATATTACCAGTGATAAATACTTCAGCACTTGTACTAAACCTTATCAGCACAAAAGTCTAATTCTAGTATCTAACTCTCAGTTCTGACCATTCCATCCCATTAATTTTACCTTTGCTTTCTGCTAAACTTCTATTTCACTATTTCTTAAATATATGAATATGACTGCTGTTGAACTTAGCTGCTGAGTTGCTATTTCTTGACTATCTGAAAGTCACTGTTGTTGAACGCAGTTACTACAGGACTGATATATCCCTGAAACCTGCCCCTCAATTTTAAAGAACGATTAACTGACCAGCGCCATGACAGATGAATTACCTATTACTACCATGAAATATTTGCTAATACTTTCTTTAAGTACTCTTTTGCGCATTTTAAAGTTACTTGCCCCAACTGCAGATTCCCCTCTACGTATATTTGTGGTAATTTCTACAAGTCACAAAGACAAGGAGGGAAAGCAAGGATGGCACAGATAACAGAAACCAGAGTGTAGCTACACGACAGACACGTGTGTCCGTCCCCCCACCCCCACCCCG